CGTTCACGACCCAGTCTTTCGGACGTTACGGATAGCCGAATGGTGCCAAAGTAGCGTTTGCAGAAATGTGAAGTGATAAACGGAGATCAACAGTGATAATGTGAAGTGATAAACGGAGATCAACAAAGGGAGGGGCGTAAGAAGAGAGGTATAGGAGCGTGAGAAGGCTGCTGGAGGAGAAACTACAGTACTAGTAAGAAGCTAGCGTGTGCGCAGCCCCGAGACCACTTGTTGGTGGTTGCGGATTTTCAGCTGTGCAGTGATTTGCGTGGGAATCGTAGCGTGAGCCGGAGGGCGCAAGAGGCTGAGAAGCTGCTTGGTACATAGCAAAAAGGGTGAGTGTTTCGATTACAGTGCATTGTTGTAGGCGGAATTGAAGTGGCGGACGTGGTGGAACGTGGAGTGATTGCGCGCTGTCGCCGGCATCATGCAGTCCATTCATTTTGAAAAGGTTTACCTTTTGCGTTATGAAAAAAAAAGAATTAGAAATTTTGACGCAAGCGTCATGCTGTGAAAGTAGCAGCGAACTGAGCACGAAGGGATGCGAACCGTAGCAGCTCCAAGCATACACTGTGCCGCATCATATAGGGCTAACTTAGGCACCGCATGCCGCTGTCGATTTCAACAACAGCTGGTAATGCAGTGTAGGTGAAAGAGCTGCTAAATTTAAATACACGCCAAACAGCATGGTATGAGGAAATGAAAAAGAAAAAAGCCAAGAAGTGGTCCACAGCACCTTCGACACGATTTGTAGCAATGAAGTGCCAAATGCCACTAGGAAATTCAGTGGACGAAAGGATGCCACCGCAGAACAGGCTGGGCCTCTCGATATATGCATCTATAACTGCAGGTCTCTGTTGAAGGTACCTGGAAATTTGGTAGAATGATTCTGTTTGGCACGGGGAAAGTTGAAGGTTGTTGGCGGACTGGGGTTTATTGCCAGCAAGAAGCGGTCTCGCAGATCATCTCCTGTCAGTTCATTTGTTGCGGTCTATCCTCCTCAGACTCGGTACTAATACAACTCTCAAAATCGTCGAATTTTGTATTTCATCAATATCCATTAACAGTGACAGAGTAGGGTGCTCCATGTTTTGCGCGAATCAGCTCTTCTTGTAAAGATGGGATTGCATAAAAGACGGTATCATCTTAAGTTTGCAGTTGCTTCCGACCAGGGCTAGAAAGCAGTCCTGTAGAACAGTTCCCGGCCGGAGACTGAATGTCGAAGAGCTGCTGGTTGTCACAGATTTCGCAGTATCATCGGCCTTCTGGATGTCTTGAACAGAAAAGATTGTGCCCACCTCATCAATACCATTGTGCTAAAGGCAGGGGCATAGGGATGCGAAATGTGGTCACTAAGAAGATTAGAGGAGCGAACGCTGGCTGGAGTAAAGGATGCTTGGAATGGCACTTTGTGGCCATATAAGAAAACGGACTGTCCGACATTTGAACGCGTGCCAGCCGGTCATTAACCACCAGGCGAGAAAGTGAAAGCCGACATGTTGCTTTTCTTGCTTACAGTTGATAGATATCACATATCATTGCATAGTAATCGCAAGAAGGTAGACGAAAGTGATGTACATAATATCGTAATAACGGGTGGAGGCACCCAGCTGGGCAGCATCAGTTTTCGGGTCTTGGTAATCGTGGTGATGAAAAAAGTTTGCATTAGGGCCAGTGATGGGCTGTTTGCACCTTCCCAGCCACTGCACTGTTTTTTCAGCTCTCTCTCTCTCTCTGCTCCATTTAGAACCGTTTAAATGAATTTTACATTGTCAGTTAAATCGGAATTTCGCGCGGACGGATACGTCGCTCGCTGGTTCTTTGTGGTTGCAAACAGGCGTCTCATTGTCGCTCATTGAGCAGCTGCTTTTTCGGTGTGTCTTTTGCTGATACTTTTGTTATCGGCGTCTATCCACTGCAAAATCCCTATGTTTGGCTGGCGATTCTCATCATGCTTCCCGTTACACTGCATGCATTCCATTTAACATCTCACTCTGTGCAGCGCTTGTCACTCTTAGCTTGCCGTACTTCTGTAACATCATTCATTCCAGACCAGGATCGCATGTACTTTGCGGGATGCCCGAGTAGTTATTGTTGTAGCACAAAGGCAGTCGGTCATTTCGATCGGCTTGAAACGAAAAGCTGATGTCTTGACGACTACTGGCTCACAGCTTTGTCAGTTTTTCGACGGGCAGTCACGCTGTCATCATTTAATATACTGTCGAGAATCTCGTTTTTCTGTTCGGTCACTGCTTGGATCGCATTTTTTCAGCAGGAAGCATCACTGTGCGCTCAACATGCCCTCAATATGCTGCTGCAAGGCTCTTATTTCACTGCAGCTGATTTAGCTGAAATCGCTTCCGATGTCGATAGGCGTGAGGGCAGCGTTATGAATGTGCGCGATGCGATAAGCCAAAATATGGACGATTCTGGGTTCTTTTCAGTGCAGGTGAGCGGATCGTCATTTGGGTTTAACGAAATTCACGGGCTTGCTGATAAATTTATGACGAATTCAGGTAATCGCAGAAGCACTTAAAGTTTTTGGCCTGGAACTGGTTTCTCTGAGCAGTCCTCGTGCAACATCGTATCGCGATAATCCAACGTACGTTGTCTCAACAATTTTTTATCTGGGAAGAGAGAGAGAGTCTTTTTAAGGCGGAAGAAAAGAAAGAGAAGAGTGTTTTTGCTCTTAGCAAATTTTCATTTACAGGCAGGGCCGAGCGTACATATGCAACTTGGATGAACATTGGTTCACGGTTCGTCGACTCGGCTTTCAGTGGTTTGCCTTGAATTCGCTGTTGCCAACGCCGCGCCTGATCTCGGACACATATCTCAGCCTATATTTTGCTCAGTTAATCAATGAAGGTAGACTTTCTTCTCACACTGTGTGTCTTCAGTTTTACAAAGCCCTTAAGCTGATACTCAAGCAGTTTCGTGCGCTTTTTTCTTGAGTAAGAAATGAAGCAGTCGTGTCTGTTTGCCCTTTTTCTAATTCTCTTCGGCTGCCGAAACGATCGGAGGTATGTTTAGAGGGATCGTTTTTAGCACTTTAAGGGCTCGGAAATTTTAATTTTTTACCACTTACCTCATCTTTTTAAACTATCCAGGTCTCGTTGGTCAGGTGTGATGTATCCCTCGCATTTTCGCCATCTTACTTTACCTTCGATGGTACTCCTACCATCTTAGCACACCACCAGGCAACCTTTTCAAGGATGCTGCGGCCAAGATTGTATTACCTAGCAGTCGTTACGCTGGTAGTTCTAGCTTAGTTCTCTCTCTTTTAATTACTTCGTTTCCCATAAAAGAAATGTTCACGGCTCATGTCTGTTATTGAGGACCTGAATGCGGCGCTGGACCCATCAGGCGTAGGGAGAGGTACACTAGAAATTGATTGTGTGAGGGTGCCAGAGAGGGGCAGTTACTAAAACCCGGCTCGGCCGATACTGTATCATCTCTGTTAACGCTATTTCGCGGCCGGGCTCGTCGATTCCGCCTAGCACTTTGCCATGATTGCGGGGTAATGTTGCCTAAGGCACCACGGCTGAAACGCGTGGCTGAGGGAGGGGAGGTGCTGGGTGGGGGTGGTGTAGATGGGTGGTGGGGGCCCAAGTGCAGTTCCGGGGTACGAGTTGGGGCAGGATGGGGGAGAGGAACAGGAGCGCTGGCGCGCAAGATGATGCTTAATTAAAGCTAGGAACTCTCAACCTTACCCACGCAGTTTCACTTTATTCACTTTTAGCTCTACCTAAGCACCAATTTTGTAGGTGGGGAATTTCCCTACTTGTGGCGGTTTTCTGTTTGCTTTTCTTGCTTTTGCTTTTTTTCTTGCTTTCCTCCTTTCCACCTATCTTACGTGGCCTGAGTAAATGCCAAGGAATCTGCATCACGTACCTGCTCAATCCACCCACCGATCTCCTCCCCCTACCTCGAATCCCAGTGCACGAAGTCCGCA